ATCATAATCACAACCAAGGTAACAATTGATCCGACGGCATAATGATACCAAGTCTCGGTATGAATGGCATATTTTCTAATCTTTCTAATCTTCAAGCGCATTGCATCCATCTTGATCTTGTGATCACCGACGACATCCGCAACATGCAACTCCAATATCATCTTCTCCTCCTCAATTTTTTTATTTTTTCCTTCAACAAATTGTTTTCTTCTTCAACTAAATTTAACCTCTCGACAATAGGGTCGGTTGGTATTTCCGATTCACATACATCTTAGATAAATAAAATCTATGTCACGTTGGTCGGCATAATTTTCATAAACAATAAATGAACCATCCGAATCATAGACAGGACGAGGGCCGATGGGGGCGGATACCAAAACCATCGCACTATATAAGATGCAATAATAAATGTAAGAAAATGATACAAGTATCTATCTAAACATACAAGTAAGAATATTTTTCCTTTCAGAAAGAAGATAAGAACAAGAGGCTCACCACGGTGGTGACGGTGATGAGATCGGCGCGGGTGATCGACGGCGGTGAAGACGGGGACGGGGCATGACGGACCGCTAAATCTAGACAAATCTCGAGGAAAATGGAGTTTGGAGGTCGAGCTTCGAGAGGAGAAAGCTTAAGTACTGTGGCTCGGGCATTCCATCGAACACCTCATGTGCATAGGAGGTGAGCTAGAGCACCACAAAGCCCTCTCCCCCTCGGCCAGAAAAAACAGAGCACTGTTCTCTACTCTTGCGCGAGGGGGTATATATAGGCACCTCATTGGTCCCGGTTGGTGACATGAGCCAGGACTAAAGGGGAGCCTTTGGTCCCGGTTCAAGCCACCAACCGGGACCAATGGTGGTGGGCCAGGAGCGAGGCCCATTGGTCCCAGTTCTTCCCACCAACCGGGACCAAAAGGTCCAGATGAACCGGAACCAATGGCCCACGTGGCCCGGCCGGCCCCCTGGGCTAACGAACTGGGACCAATGCCCACATTGGTCCCGGTTCTAGACTGAACCGGGACTAATGGGCTGACCCGGCCTGAACCAAAGCCCTGTTTTCTACTAGTGTTGCCAAGATACTCGCCAAAATGATGGCCACCCGCCTTGTTCCCCACATGTCATCCCTTGTATCCAATGCTCAAAGTGCCTTCATTAAGAAAAAAAGTATCCACGACAATTTCATGTATGTGCGCAATTTGGCGAGAAAGTTTCATCGCACAAAGACTCCGACCTTGCTATTCAAGCTTGATATCAAGAAAACTTTTGACTCTGTGAAATGGGACTTTCTCATGGATCTGCTAAGGCACCATGGCCTTCCGAGCCGATTTAGAGATTGGATCTGACCTATGTCGTCATTAACCTTTCTAAGGAGTCATCAGGTACAACATATCCATGTCGCACGATGATCATCGCATACAGTAGTCAATCTATTCCTATGTAAGGCTTCCAGGAATCACCTGTGTGTATACAAACAATGATAGATTTTTCTCGGGTATATATGTTGAATATGAGTCAAGAAGTTGAGAATATACATTTTGCCATGTTTTTCACTAGCTAGCTAGCTAGGCCGGTTGAGGTCGGTCGCCTTTTATAGGTTGACGACTGGAAGGTTGCTACTACCAACCAACATATTTAGGGGCACATATGTACTTCTTCCGTTCTAAAATATAGTACGCCCGCACTTTCTGAGGTTCTACTTTGACCATAAATTTAAACAACGATATCAACTATAGCGGGAGAATATTTTTTATAATTGAAAACTTTTTTTTGAATACGAATTCACTGATATAACTTTTGCTCCCGCCACAGTCAGTCTTGTTTGTTAAATTTATGGTCAAAGTTGAAGCACGGGAATAGAGGAAACACTATATTTTGGAACGGAGGAAGTACTCCCTCCTTTCCGGTTTATAGGGCTTATCTCAAAATTTTAGTTTTTTTCCATTTTATAAGACTCAATTTGGTTGTCCCCCATCACAAGTTCAGATTCTAAGCTGCATTAAACCAGTGCATGCAAGTATTAAGAGAAAATTGACCAATGCATGTACTTTATGCATGCATGCATTGCAATTAATGCATTGGTAAACATAATTTTTTTTGAGAAAAACAAGAGCATTAATTGGGTGCTTTTGCAAACTATAAAAAATATTCCACCACTCATCATCTACCTTGGTTGGTGAGATTTTTGAATTGAGCCTTGTAACCCAGAAAGGAGGGAGTATGTACTTAGAACGAGCATTACACAACCATATATAGCGAGAAAACTGGTCACAATCCATGGCCATGACAATGTAGTACTCACCACCACCGCACATATATGCATGCTTGCATTTTCATTTCTAGAAGTACATGGGCAGCAACAAAGATTGTATCCTATTGGTCCTATTGGCACAACATGGGAGAACTTTCTGTCTGCAAGACGCAAACTAGAAAGGTGTATTACACTCTGACGGTTCTCTCTAGAGATCAAGTTGGGGACACACACACATATGGCTGGGGCCGGTCATGTGTATTTGTGATGGGACTGGGAAGCAGCGGGAAAGATGGAGTGACACACCTGGTCTCTGTGCCTTGAGTTGATCCAGATTACATCCCTGACTGGATATGTCATCGCAAGATCGGCCAAATCAAGAGGAAGGGAAGTGGCTCAGGAGGCATGCTAATCTTATGATGCAGCACATGACGAGGAAAAATTAGGACGACATCCGTAATTTAGTTATGTGCTTGGCAGCACTTGTTATTTTGCAGGGTGTGCATCAGATTGCTCCTGCGACAAATGTCACGATCAAAGGTTTCCCGTCCAAGACGGATTCAAACTGGCCGCTACTCCATGGACAGACGCAGCAACAGTTTTGCACAGATGGAAAGTGCCAGCCCGGGCTATAGACGTGGATGTGAGTATGTGTTCAATATATATTGTGTAAGCCTATATTGTGATTTGGGTCCACCTCCTAGTTCTCCTGTATAGTTGAGGTTATGACCCCATCTTGTACATCATATATACGTGTCTGGTGCATCGATCAATGCAATTGTGTTGCACAGCCTATTTCAGTCTTCAACATGGTATCTATCGCAGGTCGTTCCTAGACCTAGCCGCTATCATCGCACCGCCGCCGCTTCCTCCCTTCGCCATCGCCACTCGCTGCCGCTGCCGGTCACCGCCGCCCTCCCACCCGCCGCCGCGGCGGCTTCCTCCTCAGCCGCCGCC